CAACTTTTTCCCCATTTAAGCGACTTCGTATCTCCTACCGTTTCCGAGATCCCCATGCTGTTCAACCTTATCTTGGACAGACTGTATATAAGCATGGTTCAATGCTCAGCATATTGGCCTTTTGAAAGATTGAGTAAACAAAGTTGTTGTCTTTCCCGGCCACGCAATACCAAAATCAATGAAATGATGAAGGCCCAATATACTTATTTACTTCGCTGGCAGAGTGACTACAAGAATGTGAAATTCCATCTGATTTTTGCCGTTACTTGTAGTCATTTCCCCAGCAGAAAATAAAAAAAAAGATTTCTTGTTATGCTCTCTGGCAGAGGAGAGGGGGTACTTACCCCCTATAACCCCCCGTCATTAGGACCACCCTTGATGGTGACTATTTCACACATCTCGAAATTCTCACATAATCTGACCTATCACAAGCCAAAGTAACTTGTATTAACGCGAAAACACTTGCCGTCTTTCAATTATTACATGATTGCAAGGTCTATCTGCGTTGCTGTTTTCAACGATGTACCTATATCCAAGAGTGAGGAAGCAAATTCAGTGTCAGTTTGACATAAAATACTTAATATTAGCTGATGGAGATGTCAGAATGAATCGGTTTAATAATACCTATGGCTTGTTCATTAATAAGAAATGTTTATTATGCTTTGTGAAATAGTGTAGCAAAATATCACTCTATTCTGAATATAGGTATATATCGTCTCATAAATGTTGTCTTTCTTTATTAACTCCAATTGTGTTGTTGCAGCACCTTATAGCAATACCACTTATTGTCCTGACGGACTCCTCTGGTACGTGTTGCTCGGCAATAAAACAATTACGTTAACAACAAAGCGACAGAATATTATTTCAAATATTCAGAACATCGTGCGATATATTATATTGTTGATAATTGATATATGGCAATCAATACAATTCGAATAAGCAGATATTGTAGAAACAAATAGCAGATGTTGCGAAGAAAAATCTCATAGGTTTTTCGGAAAAGAACAAAAAAAAAATCTCTACTGATGACCAGATTTTCAAAAAACATTGAATTGAGAGATCATATACAGTGTGACCCATTTAAAATGGAACCACCCCTGTATCTTACGTAATCGTTGGGTAATGATCCTGAAATTTGCTGGAGCGAGAGATATACCAAAAATGCACTCTATGACCAAGTGGGGTCATCTTCAGTGATATACACTGCTCGCCAACAGCCATGAAACTACCCCAATTTCTGGAAAATGATATTAGGAGTCAAAATAGGTTGAAAATCACCTCAGATTTGGAATCAGGACACCCAATTTACTAACTATTCAAATTTTCGTTCGGAAAAATGAAATTTTGTCGCATTTTTTATGGAAGCACCCCCGTATTTCACGTAATTGACTTTATCTTTGGACTTTCTCTTCCTCCGGCAAATTTCAGAACCCTACCTCAATAATTACGTGAGATACGGGGGTGCTTCCATGAGAAGTGAGACAAATTTTAATTTTACTGAACTGAAAATCTTCTAGAAAAACTTTGACTAGTTAGTAACTTGGGCGTCCTGATTCCGAATCCGACCTGATTTTCAACCTATTTTGACTCCTAATATCATTTTCCGGAAATTGGGGTGGTTTCATGGCTGTTGGCGAGCAGTGTATATCACTGAGGATGACCCCACTTGGTCATAGAGTGCATTTTTGGTATATCTCTCGCTCCAGCAAATTTCATGATCCTTACCCAACGATTACGTGAGATACAGGGGTGGTTCCATATTAGAATAAGTGGGTCACACTGTATGTATATTTGCTTCATAGGAGTTCATCATACCTATACAAAAGTTATTATAGTCCTTATAGTTTTTTTTTAAGTAGAAAAGTTCCTATCAACGTATTTCATAAAATGCATTCTGTTTGAGCTACAGGGTGTAGAAAGTACGAAAAAATTAGAATGAGAAATTTTTTCACAATAAATGCCTGTGGTAAAAGAATCGGATATTGGTCAAACTATGCCTAGGTAAGTCAACGGAATAATTCGTTATTTTTAATTTCAAATTTTCCTCATATATTTCAGATTAATCGAAAGAATATTTTGAATGCAACAAAAAATAATTCTTCGATGTGATTCAAACATTGAAAAATATCATTGAAAAAAACTAAATTTGAATTCACGGAAAAACGGATTGAACCCAGAATATTCTATGAATATTCTGACAACGTTCAAATATACTTATTTTTGAATATTCTTATAGAATGTTCTCAGAATATGATCATACAATAATATTCTCTTTCTGCAAACAATATTCTATAAACATTCTATTTGTACTTTCTCAGAATATTCTTTTTGATGCTGATCATACCACTAATATAGTGTTGTCATCTATTCGTTTTATTCATCGATAAGGTTCGTGACAAAGTGGTAAGATTTCAGGTTCGTAAAATTTCAATCACAAATATACAGGGTGTTTCACAGGTAAAGGGAAATATTTCAATAATAGGGGTCATCAAGGTGGTTCTGAAAATCCCATATTTGATATAGGTCTTAGAGTTTTCGGAGATACTGGGCGATTTATCGATTTCGAATAATTATATTCATTCGTCTATAAGTATTGAACTATACCCAGTATATTTCTTTGAAATTTGGTATGGAGCTTAAACTTGGGACGTTGAATTCATTCACCTATCAGGCGAAGAGAAAATCCAGGTTCGGCTTCAGGAAAAATTCACATTTATTCGAACTATTAAAATATAACACACTGTATGTAATAATTGACAGAGTTCATCAAAGGAATCGTGAAAGAAGTACGGAATCTACCCCTGGAAAGTCTCAAATCTGTGTAAGGATGTACCCAATAACGTCTGTCTCGCTTGCAAAGGTACTGTTTGTACACAAGGTAAACAAAAACAATTTTTTTGCGATGGTCGTCCATCGTAACCTATCGAGCGCCGATCGTACACACACTGGCAGTATTTTACAAGCTAGTGTGCATTGAATCGATCCGGCTCCGCAACGACGCCGGAGAAGTGTGCATAAAATTGATCCGGTCTCGCAACGGCGCCGCAATGGTGCCGCAACTTAAAAAATCGGATGTGTGCATCGGGCCTTTAGAGGAGGAAAAGCTGAACTGGATTTGATGCTTTTTGTTTTCCCGCCATCAATTCTCATCGTAACAATCATGAACAGAAAGCTGAAAGTATGTCAATTTGAAGAGTATTGAAATTATGAAACCAGTGTCAATTATGATTATTCGATATATTTTAGTCAAAAAATCGCTCGAAAGAACTTACTCAGTCTCACAGTTTTTATAACGGAGATACAGGGTGATCGAATTATCACTCGTCCATATAAGTATTAATAAACTACCCATCGCAGTAATATTTTCTCAAATTTGGTCTTGAGCTTACTTTTGGGACGATACAGGGTGTTATTCAAGAATGTGGCCAAACTTCAAGAGTAGATTTTTCGAGTGTTTCCAAGTCGAGAAGTTTATGTTAACATTATGGCTCCGGAAATACACCGTCGAGACACCGTCTTCAAGATACAGAGGGTATCAAAAACATTTGAAAAAAATCGCTTTGCCGTAAATAGGTGTACCTACCTTATATTATAGTCAATCAATGGAGGAACATATTGAAAACTTGGATACCTATAGTTAATTAATTCTTCCTTATTGTCTTATTGTAACCTCCACAAGACCTTTTTCTTCAGGAAAACATTCATGCAGATATATATTTTTTCTCCGATTAGCAGCAAATATCAATTTTGCTGACACATATATGGGTACTTTGCTGCCTAGGCGGCAAAGTGGTTACTTTGCTGATTGATATATGTATCAGCAAAATCAATAATCCATAAGTCGTTCATAATTTCCTTCATATTTCATTCGAGACTTCTCCGGCAACAAATTCAACTCTATATTTTTTGCCACCTCCTTTATTTCTGGAGGTGTATAAGTACTTCCAGGTCGCTATCACTGTCCATTATATAATGATTTTAATATACTAAAAGCTTGATTTTCATGACAACGTTTTGCGTCATGCGTCTTGCGTTGCATCGTTCTGATTGGCTATTTTGACTGACGCATAATTTCGTAGGAATGAAGTTAAAAATATTCAACTTCTTTGCGTCGAACGCGAGAAAGCGAGAAATGTGGGATAGAGAACTTCTACTCTTGTAGGTTATGTTTTCGTTTTAGATTTTCCCAATCACCCAAAACAGGAAGAGCACAGATTTTGAATCTTTATTAAAATCAGGGAATATTAGTCAACCAAAATACTACAGATTTTTTTTTAAACGAAAACTAATCTATACTGTTTTTAGTTTTATATGTGAGGAATGCAGGAAGCCCTCAACAGAGGTAGGTAGGTGAAGAAGTAGCCTCAAAAGAAGAGTTATTGATTTAACTTGCGAATAAAATTAATAATTTTCTCCTTCGCCAATTTTGTTCATCCATTTCATGTATGAAAAATGAATATTTTAACACTGCAGGTGTCAAATTATTACTACTTTTGGCAATAATTATTGAAAACCTATAATAAATTTTAAATATTTGACGCATGTATGAAAATTATAACAAATTTCATCGAATTTGCGTCATTTGAAATAGCCAATCAGAACGAGGCAACGCAAGACGCACGACGCAAAACGTTGTCATGAAAACAAAGCTTTACCGATATTTTTTCGCACAACTGTCAGAATTTTCATGAATTGTCAAACTATAATTATCGTGGACAACTGCGATTTCTATCAGATTTCATTTTAATGGAACACTACAGGAAAAATAAAGAGATTGTGGGAATTGTAATAATTTGCAATTATAATATCCTCCTATATATCATTATGAACAATCGGAGAAAAAATTATATCTTCAACTCGGCAGTCAATCTACTACTTTGCTGCCTAGTTAAACAAATAACTATTCTCACCTAAACTAAGTATACTTTTTATTTCTTTCACAGAGGTTCAATTTGAAAAGCTGTAGCTCTTTTATAGAAGACATTTTTTGACTTAAGAGAAAATGCATATATATAACATGATAAAATTTTATTATTTAGTATAACAGCTTCAAAATATAATTATATAGGTGGGTCATAGTGTTAACTGAACTACTCCCTGTTTCAACAATAGTCTAGGGTAGGTATATTCTTTAAAATCTCAAATCAGAGGTAAAATCACAAGCAGTATCAGAATTATAAAAATAGGTAGGTAGGTAATATAATTTCTAGAAACCGGATCCTCCACTGTGGCCATGGCATTTTTCTCACCTACCTAATTATAATTATGTCTTTTGTAACAATAATAGACCAATTATTGTGCATCTTCAGTATAATAAAAATTGTTATACTGCTGATTGGGCTGGTTTCACTCGAAACTGATAACTAAAAGAAAATAATGATAAAATCATCAGTATCAATTGTTATTGAGAAAAAAACAAGTTCACTTACTCCAAAGCCCTGTACATTTGGTAACATTGAGTTAGAGCTACAAATACATTAACACTGAGAAGTGAATAATTTTTGGGTGTTATGACCAGGGAATATCTGGACCAAATCACTCCTGTTGCCAGCAGAGCTCCACATTGACCAGGGCTGATATTGTCAGCAGGTCTTTGCAAGTCTGCTATTCCTGCTATCACCAATCCCTGAAAAATGGTAATATTTGGAGGAATAAAGGAAAAAATGGATGAAAAAGTTGATTACATGGTGAGTTCAATCTATTCAAAGAGTTGCACGAAGCTTCTTACCCATTTGAACATTGGTGCCCAGAAAAATATGGTTTTGGGACCTTGAAAATCGATAAAATTATTATATCAGTAATTTGTTTCAACAATATATACCTGCAGGATGCATCCACAGAGGCTGCAGTTTTGGGGGAACCACCTTATCCAAAGCCAACATAGATTTTTTGTATAAAAGAGACATTTTTTATTAAAAAATTATGGCTCTTATCAAAGCAATCTTTCGATTTGAAGAAAAGCCTGAAGGTTAAAAGAACGTCACCAACAGGCTGTAACAGCTGATAGCTGATCACCGCACTTGTTGCTTTTTGCGGAATGCGCAGTCTATTCCTGATGTCCTTGATAAAAAAATTGCAAGAATTCAAACGACCATGACTTGGTGGGAGATCAGTGAGAAATCCATTTTTGCGGTTGATCTATCCTTCTTAACTCGCATGTGTTAACAAAGAAAAATATATACTCAACACCAACTGTCAATGATGATGTCAATGAATGTTATGTCAGTTGTCACTGCCATCGACTTTTAAATCCAAAATAAATGCTTTCACTCTTTCACTCTCTTTCATCTCAGCTGATATCCTAGATTCACCGAGATGTGTTTACTTTTACTATAATTATAATGATATAATGAGATAAATATTGAAATGGGCAATGAACAATCTCAACTACCTGGCATAGACATTGATGAAAAAGCCATAGAAGTGAGTGACTTTTGGAGTCAACATTCTGCGAGCATAATAGCAGCAGGTAATCTTACAAACCTGTCCATATTCATTGGAGAAATATTCGTTAATGGTTCATTGTGGACTTCCCAAACTCCGTTAGAGAAATGTACCAAGGTAAATCAATTCAAAAGCATTTACAAATACTAGATCACATTGATGTGTTTCAGAATTTGATGGTTTTTCGACATCCTTGTATCATAAAGTACATCTCTTCATGGAAAAACAATTCGAAATTTTACCTAGCTGTAGAAGAAGTTATTCCCCTTGCTCAAGTTCTTCCTAAGCTCAATAGCTTGCAAATTTCTGTTGGATTGCATTCAGTACTGAAAGCACTTCACTTCCTACATGAAAATGCATCTGCATCACATAATAATGTTTGCATTTCTTCAATATATACCACCAAAGATGGGAATTGGAAGCTAGGCGGAATGGAGTACCTGAGTAGATACAAAGATATAAGCTGTGATTACCTAAGTAAGACAAGAAGTAACAGGTATGGTAGATCAGTAGATCCCAATGAAGAAAAACTTTTGGATAACAAACTGGGCAGAAGAGATTTCATTGATATTTATGCATTTGGAGCTCTAGTCAGTGAAATCCTCAAATCAAGACTTAAAGGTAATGGTTTAGGCACTAAAAAGTTTATAGTAAATTTGCCTGGTTTTCACATTTATTTATAATCATGTTTAAAGCTAAAAATCATCAATGTTTCAATAAATAATGAGTCAGTATGTATTTTTCAATAGAGTTTTTAATCTACCTTGTTATTGGAGCTTGGTATGGTATTGGTTATTTTAATGTGATCCAGTTTGTCTTTCTAGTTATACAGGGTTTTTGGTTCACCTATGTATATCTTCAAGGAGGTGGTAGATAATGTGATTTTGAACATATTTAACAAAGTGTTACTTTTGAGAAATCAATTCCAAAAATGATTTTTTTTATTCTGTATGTAAATATGTATTCAACTTTTAAAAGAAAAGAGATACAATCAGATAAATATTTGAAAAAAAATGGTGATTGGTATCTGAAAATTTATAACCCTGTATAATAAGGTCAAACATGTTTGAAATATTCTTTCCTATCACCCCTTCTCAGATGTATGTAGAAGAACCAAACACCCTGTAGATTTTTATCAAGCTGAATTTTGATGTTTCACCTCTGTTTCTAGAGCTTCTCCATTTAATTTAATAAAAATTTAAAAAAATGTTCACACCTCTACCTGCCTACCAAATTGACATTTCATTTAAAATATCCAAGTTGAAATTAGGTACTATATGTTGAACCAGAACTAAGTACAGTGTTGTTTGATTGTACAAAATCTGCTTTTGAAACTAACACACCAATATATTTTTTTTTATCACTTGGAGCGCACGAAAGGGAATCCCTATAATGTTCAAAGAACTTTTATTATTGAAAATCTAACTTAAAATATGGAAGTATTTGGAGGTAATGAACAATAATAACACATTTTTAAACAATATAATATATTACTTCATTGAATGTCCAATGTGTTTAAATTCATCTTATATGGGTGAACAATATCAATAGGTATTATATATAGGGTTTTCCTAAAGAAATTGTGTAGGCTGATGACCAGTTGGTAAACTATACTTTTTCTCTAGACTGTCGACCATTCAGTGGAATACTTCCTGTATAAAATTGGTCGGCAACCCTGACAAAAAGTATAGTATGCTCAATGCTGACTGGTCTGCAGTCTATACTTTTTTTTAGGAAGCCTACCAGTTGGCATGTCGTCCTGTGTTCAAATCGCACATAATATGTAACAGCTTCTTTTTCCAATCAATTTTTTTCTCATGAGATTTTTGTCTCACTAATTGGTTAGTATGTTTGGGTTGACTATACATTACTTTTTTTTTATATTCTGCTTTTTATGATCTAGTTCTTTGTTCCTCCATTGTTAGTTCACAAGATTTTTGGGATCAGGTTTTTGTTCCACCAATAGGTTAGTGTGTTTGTGTGTAGGTACCTAAGTATATCTAATTTCTTTAGAAGTGAGAATTTTTTGTCAAATTATGTTTTTTCTTCCTTGAAATTGATAATTTCTTGAAAATAGTTTAGTTCAGTAATGTTCGGTTGTCTACTGGTCAGCATCCTAAACATAGAGTATAGTCTGCCGACCGGTCGGCAACCTAACATAAAAGTTGCCGACTGGTGAGTAGTCTATATACTTCATAAAGGTCTTACAAAAAACCACTACATATTCCTCAGACCAAAACAATTCGATTCAAGAGAAATCACCACAGTAAAAAGTTTCATAGTTTGGGCCCTAGACAGCTCGGAAGTTACCATTTTCTCATAATTTTTGCTTCATAACTTTGAACCTGCTCATAATAGTAGAGGAGGCTACTCATTGTGAATAGCCTTGACCATACCTATTTTTCCAGGAGGTAAAATAAAAATAAAACAATTTTTATTCAAACTTTTTGGGAAAAATGTCATTGGACATAAATATTGCACTTATTCTGATCTTTTGAACTAGAATATGTAAAAATATACAGGGTATTCCATTTGAAAAAACAAAGTTGCTGGCTTTCCATAGTCCGCCATATTGGATTGTAATGTGATCGAATCCGGAATGGTTGCTTCTAGAGGGTGAGTCAAAAATGTGTACAGAGGTTTCTGGAGAACATTGAAAAATAGGTATAATTTGATAAATAAACTAATGGCCCAAAATGTGTATTGAGGAAGATATATCCGTCCATAGTTGGTTATATTAAAATAATGTTTGCTGCATAACTTCTAGACGGTACAACTACACTCTACATTCCTGCTATAGGCATAAATGGTGTTTTTCCTGTTTTATTTTCGGTTGAAAAACAGGAGCATTTGATAAACCGAAGAAAATTACATAAAAAAGGTCCTCTTATCAAAATACGAAGAATTCAACCATTATCGAGATATTTGAATTTTTGTTGTCACATGATATCAGCAGCTCAATTTATTGGTGTCAATATTTCAAGAGCCATGAACAATTTTGTTCTCAATTCTGACGTTTATAACATTGTCATTGTTAATTTCTTCGTTTGGTTTTTTGCTTCGTTATATTATTACTGCGATTTTCGACTGAGTTTTCAAGAAATGGCAGATAGATGAGCATTACTTGAGAGGAAATCAGATGGCTACAAGACGAATTAATCAAAAATGTCGCTGTTATTTGTTACAGCCATAGTGTATAACTCGCAGGGAATGCTAATTTTCCACTTGAATCATTGCAGCACATGGTGTGAGGGGAGTACCTCTGAAACTGCTAAAATCCTATCTAGATAACAGAATTCAGTGTGTTGCCATCGAAAAGAATTTCTCTGATTTCCAGAACATCAACCATGGAGTCCCACAGGGAAGTGTGCTGGGACCACAATTATCAATCATTTATCTCAACGACATTTTTCACTACTTGTCCTCTTCTGTGTGTATTTGCTTCGCTGATGACACGACATTGATTGAAACACATTCTAACCCTATCACACTCAACAATCTCACTGAGCTAGCAGAAAATAAAGCTTATACCCGGCTCTGCACAAATAATCTCAAACTGAATCAAGAAAAATCCCAAAATAATGTTCTCTCTTCCCACAACAATTTAACGTCAAACGTCGTAATTTTTTTCTCTATCAGATGCTCCTGTTTTTTTTACCGAAAAGAATACAAGGAAAAAATGTGTCTTCAAAAAATCATGACCCACGTACTAAAAACACTCTTAATAACTTTAGCAGAAATGTAGAAGTGTATCAAACAACTGTATTTAATCAACACACATTTATGCAGGAAAATTAAATTTAGTGACTTCTACCGTTTAGAAGTTATGCGGAAAAATTATTTCAAATCAATCAACTTTGAAAGGATATATCTCCCTCAATACACATTTGGGGCCATTGGTTTCTTTATTTATCAAACTATACTTATTTTTCAATACATCCAGAAAGCTGGGTACACATTTTTGACTCACCCTGTATAACTGTACCACATTTCAGAAAATCCGTTTACGAATGCAGAAGTACATTGGCGGCCAGATACCCTGTGTCACCTGGTATATGGTATATTAGCACATTCTTTCAAGCATCTCAGGACATAATCGTGAAGTAAATCTGATGCTATTCGCGATAGAAAATAAGCGTACGCCACCTATCGGAGTTCTTGAGAGATGTCGAAGCGGCCTGTTTACTTTGTTTCTATTGGTTCACATTTGTTATTTGTTTGTGCTTATTGGCCATATCAAAACAAACCGCTCAGAAGTGTTCAAGTTGTTGCCGCCAGGTGGGGCGACGTGTTATTTTCTATCGCGAATTGAAGTGACATGTATTCAATATTTTTTCATGAACTTCAAGGAAAAATAAAATCTGAATTTAGGAAACCGAGTAGGAAACTTTCCTATTCCTTCCACATATGTTGTTGAAAAATAGAAATTGGAACTTCAGGGGCGCACTAATTTTTTTCTGAGGGGGTCGTAGAGTAGATTATAGTGATCCCTTTTCTTCTAGATTAGATTTAGAATGGGGCCTTCGGGCTATCTGCCTCCACACCGCGATCTTTTCAGATCTATTGTGTCTGCCCTCAACATCGATTAGAGTTCTTCAGCTAGCCCCGCCTTCTCTATGAGACTCCCTGGGCTAGCATTCAGATCCCCTGTGTATCTTTGGGCTTCTGGTTTTTCCTCACCCAGCGTAAGGAACGTTAGTCTTCACAAGCCCTCACAGTAGCAAAGTATGTGTACTGCTGTTTCCTCCTCTTCCTGACAAAACCTGCAGAGCAGTTCTTCAGTCAGAACTATCGTACTCCTGTGTTTGTTGAGCCTACAATACCCTGTGAGAAGTCCCACTTGTATTCTAGTTGAACTTCGTTCAGGCTAAGTAGATATTCCGTGAATGTTGGCGATGTTTTGTTAATAAACTCTTACCTCATTCCTCTCTCTCATTCCTGGCGAGTTGTTCCACCATTCTTGAGATTTGGTTTGCATCCATGATTTGATACTAGTCTTTTGTATAGCTTACGCAATACCACAGAAGGGTTCTGGGCCATTCAGAGCTTTGTTTGCTCCTGCTCGGGCAAGTGAGTCTGCCTCTTCATTGCCCTCGTACCCTTTATGTGCTGGTACCCATGCTAGAGTCAGTCTGTTCTGACTGCCCAGTTCATTTAGGGTTTCTGAGCAGTCCCATACTAGCTTTGAGTTAACTTGCATAGAGTCGACTGCTTTGATTGCCGCCTGGCTATCTGAATAGATTGCAATGGTTTTCCCTTTAAACTCTTGCCTTATCAATTTTTCCACGCAATGATGTATTGCAATAATTTATGCCTGAAACACCGTCGCGTATTTACCTAAGCTCAGTGAGATTCTTGTCTTTGGCTTGGCCCATAGTGGAAGGAGAAGATGGTGTGCTCAACAGAAAGCTCAAACTCGTCTTGTTCTGCGCATGACGTCAGCTGGGATATAACTGTCATTGATATTATTTGTTTTCGTGATTGATGTCTCGAACTTCAGATATTATATAAGTACTAAAATTGAATGAAATAAATTCGAAATGCCTACTTGTTTCGTTTCTGGTTATGGAAATTCCAAATAACATACAAAAGGCACAGATATTGAATTTTTCTGCTTCTCCAAGAATGGAGACCTAATGAAACGATGGGAGCTTGCTGCCGACAGAATATAAACTCAAATAATGGTACCTACCTTATACTCCTTATATCCTCATTCCAAAGTATTCACCATCATATTCATATTATCATCACATTCATATTACAGCACGTATTTCTTCAAAACATGTCCGTGCAAGATGTTCCCAAACAAATGCGAAAGTTCGGTTCTTGAATTATACACCTCCAAAAAATCACAAATATTTGAAACAAGATGCCATTCCTACAGAACATCTTCCGAATATCAAGTCAGAAATAATTGAAAATGAATTCAAAACTCTCAATTTCTCACAAAATATAAATTGCAGCAAAGATTTGAATAACAAAACGGCAAAAATTGATACTCCTGTTGTCGATGACGGAGCAGAAGCAACGTCAACGACGTTTACTGCTGAATGTTAATCTGTCAGAATCGACACAGTAGTAGATCATTCAGATGGGATTGGCAATGCATGATAATTCGTATGTATTTGCTATTCGCGATTGTGAATTACCTCAAGATCACAACTTCAGAATCAATGAAATAGTAAAATCGAAGGAGTAGGAACATGTTTATATAAATTGAATTATTTCTAAACAGATCGAGAAACTTATAGAAATTTCAATAAGCATGATTGAATTCATTGCGCACGCCCATGGCAACGGTATCTGTCTGTGACTAGCAGCTGATATTGGTATCCCAGATGACGTCACATAATATGCGCGTAGGCACACCATCTTCTCCTCCCACTCTGGCTTGGCCCCATAAATACCAGCTCCTGATCCTCAATTTTGGAGCCGTCCGTATAGACAGCACTGTCTGCATTGATAGGAAGTCCTTTCTTCCATGCCTCTCTTGTCCATTATACTTATTTTAAAAGTCTTTTCAAAGCTATATTTTGGAATTATGCCATCCGTTGGCATTCTCATGATGGGGGTCGCTGTCCAACTCTTCATATAGCTTCCTATATTCTTTACCGTGCGCTTATGGGTGCTTGACCCCTTGACAATCTACTCACGACTGCTCTGGCTACGCCTTGAATATATATTTGTAGTGGTGGCAGGTTCAAGAGAACCTCTAATGCGGCTGTTGGGGTGGTTTTTATTGCACCAGTGGCACTCAGGCAAGCTTGCCTTTGAATAGCACCGAGCCTTCGAATCACTCCAGCCACCAAACTACTGACCCATATGCTATCATAGGCCTGATGACGCTGGCATAGAGCCATGTGGTCCTTTTTGGTTGCAGTCCCCAATTTTTTCCTCACATTCGTCTGCACAGATTGAAGGCTACTGTACTTTTTTGAACAATTTTTTGTAGGTGTTAATTCCATGTTAACTTATCGTCAAAGATGACTCCTAAGTATTTTGCCTCCTGAGCGAACGGAATTTCTACCCCATTGAGTACTGATGGCTTTAATCCTTCCAGTACTCTCTTTTTCGTGTAATTCACTATAGAGGTTTTATGAGGGTTCACGGTTCCTCCTCTTTACACCACTTGTTCATTATGTTCAGAGCGGTTTGTGTGAGCTCCGAGACCGTACTTGCGAATCTACCTTTAGACCGCCAGGTCGTCGGCGTATCCTAAGCAATAATACCCTTTGGATGTTAGCCTTTTGATCAGTTCATCCATTAGAATGGCCCATAGTAAGGGCGATAATGCTCCTCCCTGTGGGCATCCCCTATCTGCTCTAGCTGTCAGAGTTGTCTCGCCAATTGTTGATATGATAACCCTATTTTTCAAATTGACATTTATCCACTGGCACAGGAGTAGTGGTAGTCCTTTCCTTGCTAGGGCGTCAATTATAGAATTTGTTGATGCGTTGTTGAAAGCACCTTCTATGTCTACGAATGTTGTTATAGCTATTTCTTTGTCCTCTATCGACTTTGCGAGTAGCCTGTTCAGATCATCCAGTGCTAAGTCAGTTGACTTGCCTGGCTGATACGCATATTGGCGTTCGTTGAGAGGGTTTTGTAATACTTCGTCTCTTATGTATCTGTCTATCAGTCTTTCCAGTGTTTTGAGCAGGAACGACATCAAACTTATTGGGCAGTATGATTTAGGCGTTTTGTCACCCACCTTTCCCACTTTGGGTAGGTAGATGACTGTCACCTTCTGCCATACGATGGGTATATATCGTATTGCTATACAAGCCTTGAATATACGACACAGATGTGGAATTAGTATTTCCTGCCCCTTTTGAAGCAGGATGGGGTATATTCCATGTACTCCAGGGGATTTATAAGGTTTAAATTTATTAATAGCCCACCTAATTCTGTTTGGCCTCGATATCTCTGTAGCTAGCCTCCATTCAATGGCAGTTGGCCTATTCGGCCTGCCAATGGTGCGGTCTGCCACTATAGGCTCATTTAGAATTACTGAGGCCGGAAAGTATGCTTCAGTGAGCATCTTCAGATCCCTCAAAAGTTGCTGTGTAGATATTGTCATTCTTCTTCATAAAACCTACTTTTTTTATCTCTTGGAGCGCACGAAAGGGAGTCCCTATAATGTTCAAAGAACATCGTGCGTTCCTAGGGAGGATAGGGATAGGAGGTAGGTATTGGATTTTTTTTTGAACTTCTGGAGATTATATGTTATTGGGAATATTTCCTCAGGCAATGAATTCCAGAGCCTAGCCGTTCTATGGATGAAGGAGTTTTGATAAAGTGCTGTTATACATCTTTCGAGGTTGACAATGAAACGATGTGCTGACTGGGCTTGTCTAGTTCGTCTGACTGGTATTGCTAGTGAAGGGATGATAGCAGAGATTTACAGTACCCTTTTCTTCTACCTTTCAGTGATTATTATTTCGACATATTTATTCATCATTATTCCAAATTTTTTGGGATTTTCTCTCCTCGTTTCTATAAAATAAAAATATGAATATTATTTCAATATACGTGTAGTAAGGACAAATCAGATGATTTGCCCCAAAATGTCACTGCGTTTAAAGAATTTTCCTATCAGAGAGCCTAAAAGAAAAATTCACTAGCTTGTCAGTGACAATTTGTATTGAAAAAATTTTTGGAGAAGGGAAATAAAGGTATATAGAAAAAATATCAAATTTTCACTTATCTTTGGACGTTTCGGGACCGGTTCTGCTCCCGTTTTCAACATAAGAAGAGATTATTTCAATAGCGAAGTCGTATAATGTCTTGAAGCTTTTCAGTTTTCAATGACAATTGGTGACGTTGGCAATCAAATGAGTTACAGGATGTTTTCATTAATTGATCTTGAATTTACCATTTTCATGTTCAGATTTTAGTAGTGAATACCATGAAAATGGTAAATTCAAGATCAATTAATGAAAACATCCTGTAACTCATTTGATTGCCAACGTCACCAATTGTCATTGAAAACTGAAAAGCTTCAAGACATTATACGACTTCGCTATTGAAATAATCTCTTCTTATGTTGAAAACGGGAGCAGAACCGGTCCCGAAACGTCCAAAGATAAGTGAAAATTTGATATTTTTTCTATATACCTTTATTTCCCTTCTCCAAAAATTTTTTCAATACAAATTGTCACTGACAAGCTAGTGAATTTTTCTTTTAGGCTCTCTGATAGGAAAATTCTTTAAACGCAGTGACATTTTGGGGCAAATCATCTGATTTGTCCTTACTACACGTATATTGAAATAATATTCATATTTTTATTTTATAGAAACGAGGAGAGAAAATCCCAAAAAATTTGGAATAATGAATATACCACCTCCTCGATTAACCTACAGACAGTATTTATATTTATTCATTTTTTTTATCTATTTATCTATTTCAACACTTACATTAATAATGAAAGGAGCAATGAAAATTCACACTCATACAAATTTAGCACTTAAGCACCGAAGTTATACTCATTTCATTATTCAGGTATTCATAATTATTTTCACAATATTCTTCTTGAAATCAAAATATGGAGTTATCCTACATTTCTCTTGTAATTTTCAATATTCTTTATAATTCTGTATAGTAACATTGATATTCTCCACATTCTCATAGAAAATGAAAAGTACATTTCAAAATATGAAAAGTATGGAAAAAATCTTGTTTACAGATGATTCGCCAGTTTTGTCGACTTTCCGAGACTATTGCAAACACGAATTGCAAAACGCGGACATATCAAAAAGGCCGAGTTTCGAGAACATTTTAGCCCACGAATTTTTCAATCAAGACTTCATAACCATCCATTCCTTCTTGGTGGAACTGCCTTTGAAGAATGACGAACAAAAATCGGAATTCTTTGATAGTTTGGTCGATAAACTAAGGCTTTTCGATGAAGAGATAGTAGCCTCCCAGCTGAGTGGGTTGCTGTTGTCTAGATTGGTGTTGTTGAACAGAAATGCTCAAGAAAAGGTTTTGCCGGTATTATTGACACCAAAAACAGGTGAGTCCTACTGGGTGTCTTTATATTTCCACCCCTAAACAGGGTGTCATTGTTTAGGTTTTTATGAGAATTCGATGTATCAAGACATGTTAAAAAATATTTTTTCTACGGCTATAACACAAGATTGCTCTTGTTATACGACGCTATACATAGTGGAGTATACTACGGCCTTGCCAAAAATGCTATCTCGGAAACTAAGCGAGATAGAGGTATAGTTACTTTGGAGAAAATGATCCCCATCGAATTTTGAGCAACTTTGGTTTTTGTGTGTGGTCTGTCTGTCTGTACTCTGTGGTAATCATAAATCGATATATCTCCGGAACCCTTTGACATATCGACTTGAAATTTTGCCATCTTATTGTACTCAAAACAATATTATGTCATTAAAATATGAAGGAAATCGGAAAACTCTAAGGTGGTTTTTCCGGTTTTTTTCGATTTTTCACCGGAAGTTTCTTGTGACCACTCTACAAATCGCAAAAGTGGTCCGATCGATTTCATTTTTTGTGAAAAAAAAACTCTATCAGGGAGAGACAAAGCCTATTGAAATTAAGCAGGGTCGGGAAATTCCAAGTGGGATTTTCAAGGAGATTTTCCGAAACACACGGTTCGCTTTAAAACGACATAGCTCCTGAACCAATAGATTAAATCCAAATTTGAAAAATGCACCGTATGCCTCTTTGATGACGCAACAAATTATTATTCTACCATTTTTTCGTGCATCCATCGGAAAATGGAAAAACAAAATCCTTTCAATTCAATATATATCGAAAACAAATGGAAAAATCGAAAATCATCAGAAGTGCAAAGTTATCCACTGGAACATTCCCTACAAATTATTACCCGAAATTTTTTCTGTAAACCCAATAGTACAGGAAATAAAGTAAAAAATATGAAAAAAAAATTTGAACTACCCATAGGGTACCATGAAGATATATTGAAAAACAAAAGATTATCGATAGATGAAGATCATCGACTTCCACGGAACCATGAAATATTTTTTCCTTTTGTTGATTGGAAGATGGAACAAAAGTGTTGAAAATTTTATTCTCAGATGATTCCGAATATCTCGAAAACAACTGGAGATATCTGAAAATGTTATGAAACCAAAATTATTCCTTTCGATAGAATCTACAAAAAATCCTCATAACATTTTTCTCTGAATTCAATAGTTCGGGAGATACGATGAAAATACTAAAAAATTTACAAGTTCCTAGATAATCACTTGCCAATAGAAAACGAAACAAAAAACAAAAGAAAGTAAAAAAAGCACACTCGACTGTCGCCAATAAACTATGTACCTAGCTCACTCGACTGTCTAAATTTTTTGCCCATAAACTACTTACCTAGCACACTCGACTGTCTTGATTTCCCACAAAGAAGAAATATGTTGGCAAAGTTTTAACTATCTTTTGTTTTTGTTTTTTCAGTCCCTATTGGTAGTCGAGTGGGCTAGGTACGTAGTTTGTGTGGAAAAACCAAGACAGTCGAGTGGGCTAAGTACGTAGTTTGTGGGAAAAATCTCCAGTTCACTGAACTTTCATAGCGTCTTATACACATCTTTGGTGCCCAATGATAGTTTCAATATAAAAAAAATATGCTCATGATATGGTGCAATGGCCTCTACTTCCATCTTACATGAGCAATGATAAAATATCATCTTCTTTTATAGCGTCGTATAAATTATCTGACCCCTATACTAATCTAATACCTAATGAAAACTACATCTATACTAATCTGATACCTTTCAAAAACTACGTACCTCACTTGTTTTACTGTTTTCGATACATCAATGAGGTACTTTGTTTGTCATCAATTTTATTTCCCTATCTGATATCACAATGACTCCATTGTGTTATTATTAAAAAAAAACTCATCGCCCATGGAATGTCAAATTTCAAGCAATGACAGATCTGTCTAATAGATGAGCATTACTTGACAGGAAATCAGATGGCTACAAGACGAAGAAATCGAAAATGCCGCTGTTATCTATTATAGCTGTAGAAAAATTATAGTGTATAACTTGCACGGAATGCTAATTTCCTACTCGAATGATTGCAGTATTCGCCTATGGCTCATGCTGCAAACCTAATTCTCGTAGGAAATCACTATCATTATGTGCTCGTTAAACAATAAAATATTTTCTACTGTTGTAACACAAAATTGCTCTTGTTTTACTGGGTTTGATAAATCAATGAGGTATTTTGTATGTTATCAATTTCATTTCCGTATCTGATATCACAATGGCTACATTGTGTTATTTCACAAAATCTCATATTTTATGAAATGTCAAATTTCAAGCATATGGTTACAAGCAGAAGAAATAAACAATTTCACTGTTATCTGTTACAGTTGTGTCTCGCAGGGAATGATAAGTACTAACATCCCGTGCTCATTAAACAATATACTATCCTACTGGGTGATTGTTTATAATTTGTTCAATAGCTATCACAGTTACTATTGGTCTTTAAAAAACGTTTAAAGGGGTAAAATAGTTATTTATTATACAAGGGAAAAAAGTAGTAGATTTTAGCTCCAGGTTGTGTTGTTTCCCGACGCGTAGCGGAGGGAGACAACAAACCGTGAGCTAAAATCTAATATTTTTCCCGTGTATAATACACTATTTTTTTCTGTGACAGAAGTAAGGACGAATCTATATTGAGAAGATATTACATTATTTTGAAATCTGAAAATTATCGACGTGAAATTTTATGTTCTTAACAGTAGGGTCACCGCGTTGTAGGCATCTTTATCATTCATTTGAAGTAATCAAATATCTGATGTCACTTCTGTCAGTCTAATTCTGTAATTTGATTTCAAAAAATTGCGAATTTTGTGATTGTTTAGTAATATTCGTAACGGCGAAGTCGAATGGAAGATAAAAGGACTTGCAGTTCTTTCTCGGAGACGGTATTATTGACTAATTTTTCGGAACTATAGCACAACAATAGAAGCCATCAACAGTGTATATATATGTGGTATATATCCGGGAAAAAAGTACTCACTTTTTTCCCACGGGAAAAAAGTAATTTATGAAAAGTGACATTTTATAACCCGCCAACAGGGATGAAGTGCCAAACTTTTTTCCCGTCACAGAAAAAAAGAAATATTTGCTTATGGTAATTCAGTTCAAGTACTAGAAAATGCAAAAAAAACATCGTAAACCTAAAAATTTTACTTTAACTGATATTTTTTATATGGAACACACTGTATTTCATTTTCCTAAATGGTAGAGCTCTTTCTTATGGTTTCAAATATATATACGTCACTATCTGACCCGGCAAACGTTGTTTTGCCATAAACTTTATTTCTAGAAAATATTATAAAACCCCAAGATACAAATTTTGAATAGAATCGGATCATAATTAGAAAACTCGTCGGTCATATTGGATCCGCCATCTTGAATTCCCAAATTTTCACAAAAGAATCATAATATCTGACCCCAAAAACCCCCAGATACGAATTTCAAATGGAATCCTATCATAATTACAAAACTCGTTCGCCATAGTATGACCATTTTAGCCTAGAATTCAGACAATCTGGTTGGTTGAACTTAGATGAAAGATTCAAGCTCCATATGTCATCGCTGGTTTTCAAAATAAATAAAGAAGGTGTTCCTCCATATTTGTTCAAGAAGCTTTCAAAAAGTTCAGATATACATGACAGATTGACACGTTCACGTGACTTTTATACCGTTCCAAAGCACAATACTGCCCAATTTCAGAAGTGTTTTTCATATATTTCCACTCACACATACAATTCTCTACCTGCCCACGTCAGATCTGCCCGGACCCTCAATACATTCAAAATATATGCCAAATCCTATATATTTGACATGAGAAACCCCAATTCTTAATTAGTGAATCATTATTATTGTTATTATCATTATTATTACTGTCATCATTATTTTATTGTCACCATTTTCATCATTGATTGATTTATTCAGTTGTTATATTTAATTGGTGCCCTATGTGTACCTATATAGTATAATATTTCAATAGTAGGTGATTTAATTTTCTTGAATTAATTGAAAATAGCCTTTTAACTTGTTGGATACTTAGGGGGTTGTATGGAAGAGCAACCATGTTGAATGCCGCCTCCTCTTTATAATACTCTATGAATTTTGTTTATTGATGAAAAATGAAGACACATTATTATTATCATTATTATTATTATTATTATTATTATTATATTGGATCCGCCGTCTTTAATATCAAAATTTTGACGAAAGAATCATAATATATGACCCCAAAAACCCCCGGGTACACATTATGAATGGAACCGGATCATAATTACAAAACTCGTCCGCCATATTGGATCCGCCATCTTGAATTTCCAAATTTTGACGAATTAATCATAATCTACGACCCCGGAAAACTACAGATATCAATGAGTAATTCAGTAATTCTTATTGACAGTGTTTCAAAAAATTTATTTTGTAATCTTACAAAGCTTCTCTCGTTCATTGGTGTCAATTCAGGATTCATTTGGTTGAATTTTCTGCAAGTTCTGGCAATGATTTGATCACATTGTCCGTTTGAATAATCGATATTTGCATTCATTTTGGGAGATTTTTTGAAACCCTGTCAATAAGAATTACTGAATTACTCATTAATTTCACCGAACTGTCATGAGTTTGATATTTCCATGGATATCTAAAATTAACTTCTTCATAAAATTATATTTTTCACAAAAAGCGGCTTTATCAAGAAAACTTGATGACTTAGGTATAGAGACATGCTATGTCATCTTGTAGCATTTTTCTTCGTCCTTCAATTTATTGAGTAAAAAACAGTGGGTTTCATTTGAAAAAATGAACTTTTGACCACATGTATGGACAATGGATATAATAATAATTTCAGCACGCCCCGTATGATATGGAGGCGATATCGCGGTATAAATTGAATCAAGCCTGTCCAAACCACCACTAAAATATCAACTCTTAGTGAATTGAGAGCCCTTATTTACTAAAGTTTAATCAGGGATATGTTTTGGATCATATTAAACACAATTTTTTTTTATCCCGAAAACCTATAGAGAGGTATAGGAATTTGTCAACAAAAAAGTATTGTAATGAAAAGGCAATTCTGAAAATTATCGTTATACGGGGTGTTCCATTCTGAAAAATGAAGTTGCTAGAACTTTTTGATATAAACGGCAACATCGCAATTTCAAAAATATTATAGATCGATAGAACAGGTGATAAAATGTAAGATTCGAAATCTTCAGAAAAATCCTGCGTTGCGTTCTCCATAAACGACTTACCTACCATCGACCGTGAGTTACCCTGTATTCTGTAGCATTATTTTGTTTATAACTTCTTTCGGCTCCTCACCTTGCGGTTTCTATCATTTTTCTTCTCGTTTGCTTTCATATTAAAGGGAGAGAAATACAGGCTGATTCACGGTGGATGGCACATTAGACGTTTCTGGTGAACCAGACAACGGATCATTTTGAAAATTTAATGGAGGGCATATTCGGACATTCTCTAGCCAACTAAAATATTTTCGACAATGCGGTGTTGCCGCTTCTATTAGAAAGCAGTAGGAACTTTGATTTTTCAAATGGAACACTCTGTATTTTATTGCATTTTCAGATTCTCCCAGAAGAGCAAATTTCATCGATGTATCACACTTGGGGTCTAGCGGAAATGATTACAGAGATATAGGGTGTGAAAAATCGATATTTTTCAACTTTAGGATTTTTTTGTGTCGAAACTATTCATCATTGGTCAAAACGGCTTACATGTCCCTATCTCAACTTTTGATTAACTATCTACTAACATTTAATTGAAACAAATACAGGGTGGTGCAGAATTCAGAATCTTGATCACCCGGTATATGTCCCAATTAAATATCAGTAGATAGTTAATCAAAAGTTGAGATAGGGACATGTAAGCCGTTTTGACCAATGATGAATAGTTTCGACACAAAAAAATCCTAAAGTTGAAAAATATCGATTTTTCACACCCTATATCTCTGTAATCATTTCCGCTAGACCCCAAGTGTGATACATCGATGAAATCAGCTCTTCAGGGAGAATCTGAAAATGCAATAAAATACAGAGTGTTCCATTTGAAAAATCGAAGTTGCTACTGCTTTCTAATAGAAGCGGCAACACCGCATTGTCGAAAATATTTTAGTTGGCTAGAAAATGTCCGAATATGCCCTCCATTTAATTTTCAAAATGATCCTTTGTCAGGTTCACCAGAAACGTCTAATGTGCCATCCACCGTGAATCAGCCTGTATATGGTTCCGTTTGATGATTTTAAGAAAAAAATTGAAAATTGTCTGATTTTCCAAACGGTGCGAACTAGCTGCCACCATATCTGAACAAACTGAAAAAATAACCTTCATGATGAGACCAAGTTTGTCGAATTCCGTTACACCAAAATGCAGAAATAAGCATTTCTTCATAGCACTTCATTTTCCCTTCCTCTTTTATTTGAAGAGCTAGTGCAAACTTTCTTGATCCATATGATTGGAAATCAACTCGAGATTATAGAACGAGTGTTTTTTACATATTTTCCTAGAAATAATTTCCAGAAATTTTTCTTGCCCATTTTCATCATAAATATTTCTTTTCCGAAACCTGTACGGAAAATAGATTCCGAGATAGAGCCTTAAATCTTGGTTCTACACACGGTAAAATTCCTTATTAAAAAATATATTGAGCAGCACTATCCTTGTATTTCCTTGTTTGTTAACCGATTTCAATTTTTTTTGCTCAATATGTAGTACTCAATGCGATCTAATCTCCTGAGTTTTAAATTTTTCCATTGCAATGTCATATGGCCAACGGCAATACATGCACATTTTACTGTAACTAATTCTTTTGAATTTTGCAGATGCAAATGATGAAACTCAGGCTGATCTAATCTTCTCAGAAGATTCATTTAAAATTCACCTACGACCCAAACTATTGGAAATATTCAGGGTGAGAGATGCACAGATCCGGCTATTGCTCTTGCAACATTTCTCTAAGTTTATGCACATATTCACACGTGATGAGTTGCTGTCTAACATTCTGCCTGAGGTAAGTCAAAACATATTTTGAACTAAGACAATTATACAGGGTGACCCGGGGTTAAACCGCCAAACGTTTAGGATCAGTTTTTTAGGCAACAATAAAACGTTTTCTTCCTATAAGCATGTGTCCTAACTTGCTTCATTTTAGAGATATAGGATGTCAAAGTTTTGATAAAGAATCAGTTCTTCATTAATTACTCAAAAACCTTTGGGCTGATTTTGATGAAACTTGGTATGCTCATTTGAGGTAATAAGGGGCTCCTGTTAACTGTTTGCTTAGGATGAAATTATTTTTTCCAGTAGCGTCCCAGAGGGTAATCTATCTAATATTAGGATAAATCATTGTACGCCACGTTTTCCGTGAAATGTAATTTTCTCGCAGCTTTATACAAAAGCGCTATTGAATTTTTTCAAAAAAACCAATGTATACAAAAAGAATCGATGACAAAAAAATGTATTTTTGAAAGTTTAATTTGAGAAATAAACATACGAATAAAACAGTGGCGTACAATGATTTATACTAATATTAGATAGATAAGATAATGAAAAACTGATTTTTTCCAAAAACTTTGACACCCTATATCTCTTAAATGAAGCAAGTTAGGAAACATGCTTATGGAAAGAAGGAGTCTTATTTTTGCCTAAAAAACTGATCCTGAACGTTTGGTGGTTTAACCCTGGGTCACCCTGTATAAATAAATAAATAAATATTGACAAAACCCAGCTAACATATTTTGGTCAACGATCAAACAACAATTTTACTATAACATTGTTGGAGAACATTGAATTTGGGATTGGTATGATTAACAAAACGAAGAGTCAAATTACAGCGCGAGAAATGGCCTACCTTGATTTTCGTTCTTTCCCAAGTTCTGTAGGTTTTCTCAGCTGGTCGGGGTTGCAACCACCAATCTCCTGCTTTCTGGGAAGTGGACTGTATTTCTGGGAGGATCTCACACACTAAATATTTATTGAGAGAGGTTTTGGGTTTGATTGAGTAGGTATTTTGCCGGGTTTTATATTTTTACACGACACACCGGTACCTTGTCCGAGCGTGGAGAGGTACTACTCTTTTTCGGCCGAAACTGGCACACTATTGGCCACTGCGCAGAATTTGACTCTATTTCGCGGAATATTCGAGAATTGAGATAAAAGATAATTAATATTCTCAATAAACAATCGCCGAGATATCAATATAAGAAATTTTGTAATAATATGATTTTGCATGGAAAGAAAATAATTTCAACTATAGAACTAAATTACTTTACTAAACTGAAGAGGTGGGGCGTGAACAAACATACAAAAATAAAGATATTGTATCCGAATCATCAGTAAGATTTCTAGGTGTAAGCGCTGATCAGAGGTTGGACTGGAAAGAGCAAATTGCGCAAACGTCTACTAGTTTATCGCAGTATAGCTATGCCCTGAAAATTATTTCATCAAATATTAACACGCTGGTTGCCGGGACCCTGTTTTTATCTGTATTCCAGGCTTTGTCAGTCATATGTAATTGACGGTGACTTGTTAAAAACGGTGCTTGGCAGTGATTTTTAACAATGCGTCCGCACTCTCTTCACCTCTCTTCACCTCATTGTGTTTTATCCTTTTGCTGTTATAGCAAATGTTCCAACTCTTGTGAGTTTATCGACAATTAATAACTAATAGGAGTATATCATGCACTTTTACTTATAAACATCGAAAAAAATTGCCTTGTCAGGCCGCGTCGGTCGATTTTAGCAGACATCCTTTTATGCTCTTTTTTACACCAGAACGACTTTACAATTTCTGAGCAGCAGTATGCTGATTAATTAGATGCCCCCTACTCTGAAAACTTCGCGTGGTCTGACGCGTTCGAACCAATGAAAATGCATCGGCTCAGCACGAGATCAAGCTGTCGGTCAAAAATGACTGACATGGCAGTCATAGTGATTCCGATGAATAAAACGAAACAAAAGACGGATACCGTTGCCATGGGCGTGGGCTATGAATTCAATCAGGTTTACTGAAATTTCTATTCTCGATTTTTTTTTTTTTTTTTTTTTTTAATCAATATGCTTTATTTTCAATTCATAATAACAAATTTCAACAATACAAAAATGTTTTTTGTTTTCTTTTTTCTTACCCTAACTAAATTCAATAAATACATACATATACATACATACATACAATATCTACAAATAAATATATTAAATATATACATATATACATGTAGGAAGTATGTGATCAAAACGAATGAAAATATTCAGGACAAGTTCAATTAAAACTACTCAAAAAATGTATAAATCTGAATAAATAATTTTCAAGCATTGTTCCAAATCAGCAATGATTGCTGGTACCAGAACAAAATTATATTTGAAATTCAATGGCTGACAACATGTTGCATCATTTCAGTTTTGAATGTAGAGTAACTATTTTTATTTTTTATCCAGTTTGGCAAATTATTGAATGTTTCAAGACATTTAGAGAAGGGATTATTCAAACCAATGTTTGTTCTCACCTGGGGTAGATAGATTTGGTTTCGACTTCTAGTTTCATATGAATGTATCTCATTAACTGTGTTCATATTTGTGTTGCATTTTTGTTGATTTCTTGTTATTTTATAAATAAATTTACATTGTTCTATCTGTAGAATTTTTTCCAGCGGCAAAATTTCAGTTTGATGGTAGATAATTTCTGTATTTGTTCTGCAGTCATAGCCAAATAAAGTTTTTACTACCTTATTTTGTAGAGTTTTGATTTTTTTAAATAATGTTTGAGAACATATTCCCCAGTTTGTTATCAGATAACGGAATATAGAAAGAAAATAGGCGTTATAGATCATGATTTTATTTTGTGAATTCAAATAACGTTGGCACCTGTAAAGTGCTCCAATCATTGGAACAATTTTTTTTGTCATGTGTTCTGCATGTTTATACCAATTTAATTTGTCGTCAATTATTAATCCCAAGTATTTAGTATGATCAACCTTTTGAATTGCCTGCTCTCCTATTTTGATATCTGGGTCATGACTTTCTTTATTTTTATTTTTGAATAACATATACACTGTTTTTTTCACATTTATCTGCAGCTTATTTGCCAGTAGCCATTCAGCATATAGTTCTAGGTCACAATTTACTAAGTCTTCTAGTTCTGCCAAGTTTGATCCTTCATATACAAGAATGGTATCATCTGCAAATATGTAATAGCGAGCCTTAAGATTTGCTTTTTTGAGATTTAGGGTGTGTAATGAGTATAATAGTGGCCCAAGGACTGAGCCTTGTGGGACTCCACAGCTAATATTCAAGATTTCACTATTTATTTTATCTAGAGATACATACTGTTTACGTTCATTCAAGTATGATTCTAATATGCTTGCACTTTTTCCTCTTATACCTAAGAAGTTCAATTTATTTATAAGTATTTCATGATCCACTACATCAAATGCTTTTTGTAGATCAATAAATATTGTAATGACATATTTTTTGTCATCTAAGTTTGTTATGACATGGTTCAGAAGGTCCATCGTATCACTTTGAGTGTTTGATTGTTTCTGAAAACCATATTGATACTTGTCTAATTCAACATATCTGGTAAGGAAGTTCATGATACGGTTTTTTAATAGAATTTCTACGAATTTTGATAATGCACAGACTACGGTAATGGGACGATAATTTTCTAAGTTGTTTTTTGGTCCAGATTTATGGATAGGGGTAACCTTACCCATTTTTAGCTCCTTCGGAAATTCTCCTGTTTCGAACATTTTATTAACCAAGTTGACTAGGATTGGTATTATTGTCTCCTGCACTAATGATAATTCTTTCACTGTAATTTTATCATTACCTGGAGCAGAATTCTTATTCATTTCCTCTAACACCTCTCTTACTTCTTTCATATTAGAATCGTGAAGGTACAAAGAATTTTTTATATTGATTTCATCAAAATGATGTTGGAGTGGGTTACCTACGAGTTTCGCATTGATTTTATTGACGATCGAATTACCTATATCACAAAAATATTTGTTAAATTTATTTCCAATTTCCATTTTATCTGTTATTAATGTTTTATCAACCTCGATTATATGTGCACTCGTTTGTTCCTTTTCATGTTTTATGAGGCTATTTATGAAGTTCCATTGTTTCTTTGGATTTCCCTCAGTATCATTCCATCTTTTTATGAAAAAATTCGTTTTTAATTTTCTTTTTTCATTTTCAACTTGTTTTTTTTTATTTTTGAAGTCCTCTAGTATTTGTTGATCCTGTGGGAATTTTTTCATTAGTTTGTATAATTCCTCTCTTCTTTTCAATTGGTCTAAAAACGTGGGAGTAATCCAGTCATTATTTTCCCTAATTTGCATTTTAATTGTTTTTGTCGCCCTACTTTTAGCTTCTTGTATGAGTTTGATCAAAGTTCCGAATGTATCAACTGGTATAGAATTTTCTAGTAGATTTTTCAAATTCTCCTGATATTTTGAGTTATCTAGTTTCTCGAATGTTTTTTGAATTTTACAATTGCACCTTTTAGTTTTTGAATATAATTCTACTTCTATTAGATTATGATCAGAAATTGTGCTGTATTCAATGTTTAGTTTACACTCTCCAATATTACTTGTTGCTAAAACATGATCAATGATGGTATGTGAGTTTTGTGTAATTCTGGTTGCATATTCTATACCTATATTGTTTTGGATCTCAAATCCATTCAATACAACACAATTTTTATATTCACTAGTGGTCTCAGTATTATCTAATAAATTTATATTAAAGTCTCCAATTATCAGTGTTTTTTTCTCCTGTTGTAGTATATCCTCTAATATGACCAAGAATTCCTTCACATTGAATGATGGTGGTCTATATAATGCTATAATTTTTATACCATTTAGCTGTAGATTCACCCCAACCATGTTGTATTGACTGTCGCCACCAACATTGTTTATTTCGATGAACTTGATATTTTCTCTGATGTATATTGCAACTCCTCCAGCTCTCGTATCTCTACATGCATGCACAGCTGAATACCCATTTATCATGAATTGGTTTAATTCATTCTTATATAACCAGGTTTCCACGATTACTAATATATCATAGTATTTTAGCTTCACAAGACATTGTAGTTCCTCCAATTTGTTTCTGAGACTTTGTGCATTCAATTTCTCTCTCGTTTCTCGATCTGTCTAGGAATAATTCAATTTATATAAATAGGTACCTATTCATCCGATTTCACTATCCCATTGATTCTGGAGTTTGTGATCTTGCGGTAATTCACAATCGCAAATAGAAAATACATACGAATTATCATGCATGGCCAATCCCATCGAATGTTCCACCACTGTTTCGATTCTGACAGATTAAAATTCTGCAGTTAACGACGTTGACGTTGCTTCTGCTTTGACATCGACAACAGGAGTATCATTTTTTGCCGTTTTGTTATTCAAATCTCTGCTCCAATTTATATTTTGTGAGAAATTGAGTGTTTTGAATTCATTTACAGTTATTTCTAACTTAATATTCGACGGAATATGTTCTGTAGGAATGGCATCATGTTCCGAATATTCCAGATGTGTAATTCAACATCTGTACTTTCAAACTTGTTTGAGAACATTTTGCATGGAAATTTTATCGAACAAATACGTGCTGGAATATGAATGTGATGATAATATGATAGGTGAATACTTTGGAATAAGGATATAAGGAATATGAGGTAGGTAGGTAGATATTTGAGTTTAGCTTCCACCCATCGTTTCATTACGTCTCCATTCTTGGAAATACAGAAAATTCAATATCTGTGCCTTTTGTATATCAGTTGGAATTTCCATGACCAGAAACGAAACGAGTGGGCATTTTGAAATAATTTCATTCAATTTTAGAACTTAAATAATATCTGAAGTTTGGGACATCGATCACGAGAACAAATAAAAACGATGGGAACAAGTGGGCATTTTGAAATCATTTCATTCAATTTTAGAACTTATATAATATCTGAAGTTTGGGCATCGACCACGAGAACAAATAATAACAATGACAGTTATATCCCACAGTTGACATCATGCGCAAAACAAGACGAAATTGAGCTTTCTGTCGAGCACACCAACTTCTCCTTCCACTATGATTAAAATATCTGTCACTACCTACCGGTCAATTATGATGAGTTTACCTCAAGCTCGTGTATTTATAGCTATCATATTACAATTCGTCTCGTGGGTGATGCCTCGCTCACAAACTCACTCACTTCTCTGGAACACCGAAGAAAAGTTGGCGATCCGGCTCTATTTTATAGATATTTTCAATTGGTCCTCCCTTGGCAGTCCCCGTGAGATTAACCCGTCGAGTTGAGGCTTCGCACCCCTTCGTGGTCACTTCGCAGACCTGCAGAACATCTCTTTCCAACGTTCATCCAACGAACAGCGAGGCACTGGAACACATTGCCAAGGGAGGTTTTCCCGGAGGCATATAACCTCCAGAAATTCAAGAACACCAATTCCTACCTTATTTCCCTTGGTTCTTACGATGTTCTCTGAACATTACAGGATACCCCTTTTCGTGAGAACCAGAACCTGAAATAAAAACATGATCTTTGCATAAAATACTATTTCGAATTATTCTTCTAATTTTTCAACCGGTTGATCCCAACGTCCTCGAACGAGGACGGCACTTTTTTTCGAATATCTGATGGTAGTTCGCAAAAATTCTTGTATGAGCATCGACTCTTAACTAATCCTTCCCTTTTTTTGCAGCTGCTGGTCGGCATCAAGGACACCGACGACCGCTTAGTGGCCGTCACTCTGCGCTCGCTGGCCGACCTCGTGGCGGTACTCGGCGCCGCCGCCGTAGTCGGCGGCAAAAGGGCGAAGCTCTTCACCGACGGCCGGCCAGTGCCCGCCCCCCGCCGAGGAACGACGACGAGGCGGGCCTCAGCAGTGGTGGAGGCGGTAGCAGGGGGCGGAGGGTCGGCTGGTGGGGAGGTGGCGGCGGTGGAAAGGAGATCAGGTAAGGGGTTGATCATTTTTCAGCAAGCATATACAGGGTGTCCCGAAATTACATAGAAAGATTTCAACAATATAGACCAGGGTCGATAAAATTAATAGTAGGATGAAACCCGTTGAGAAAGGACGAGAATATAACAAAAAGGGGGTGATTTTTTAGAGTAAAAAACGGTGTATATCGATTTCCGGCAAAGCCACAAGTTCTATGGAGAAAAATTGAATGACAAAGTTGTAGGTAATAAAGAGACCTACAACTTTTGTTATCACACGTTTTTCACAAAATCTAGAAATTCACGTGAAAAATTCAAATAATCAAGTTTTTGTTTTTTTTGTTATGCAAAAAAAATTCACACGAAATTTGGTGAAAAATTAGTTTTTTATGTCCTGAAGACACTGTTTTTTTTTTATTTGGAATATTTATTTTTTCACCTTATTTTGACTTAATATCGAAAAAACACCCTAATTTCTAATCGAAAATTCTCGCGTCAAAATATCAGCTTTTTGAAAATGCTCGGGGCGTTTTTTGTTCTTTGAAATCGCTTTTTTCTGATAATGTAAAAAAATATATACATCACTATAGTAGATGTTCTCAGAAATGCAAAGAAAAAAAAATCCAATCCGAATATTTTTTTTAATCACTGCACAATTTTGAGCTATTCAGTGAATTTTACACTTTAATTACATAAAGATTGCAAGGAACATGCGAAAATAGTTCTAAATGTTAGAGATTGGATTCAAAGGAAGTTAGTGATTTAGATGGAATTGTGGATGAAGGACATGATACATTAAAAAGGACCAATTCAGACTGAAAATAATATTCGATAGGAAGACGGTGATGGTCTTGAAGATTTCAAAGATCTACTAGAATCGGGAAGGTATGTCGAATCTAACGATGAAGAAATGCCACCGAAAAAACAAAAAGTAATGAATGAGTGATTAGAGTTCAAGATAAGATTTATATTTAGATAAGAATATATATGCATTTGAAAATATTATTATGAATAATAATGATCAGTATGAAGTATCTAAATTCAATAGTACGATTTACATTTCTATTCATATATTATGAAATTTTCTATGACATAGATACTCAATACTCAATATATTTCATGTCATTATACATAGGTATTTACACTCGTCAAAACAGTAGGAAACTATAGTAATCAGGTTAGCATATACATTTGTAAAAACAGGGAATTAAAATCTTCAATATTTATTTTGTCAAAATTATGAGCACAATGCAAGTTTGACTTTAGGCACAATATAGTGGAGCTACAATCCAATTATATAGTATAATTGAAATTTAGACTAAAACATTTGTTTATAAACAGAAAATATTAGAAAATATCAGAAAAAATTATTAAAATTTGTGTGTGAGGAATTCATCATATGAGTAAAAGCAATTTAGATACAAAATCTGCTCAACTTTATTCTTAAATTTATCTCGTTCCAAGTTCTTTATGAAATCTGGTAGAGTATTGAAAAATTTTATGGATAGATAGCCTGGGCCATCTTGACACCTTTTCAACCTATGATAAGCTGGGATGAGCAAGTTTTTTTGTCTTGTATCATAGTTGTGGACCCCACTCTGAATTTATCCTCATTGTCCTTCACATACATCAGATTTTCTAGTATGTAATGAGATGGTAAGGTAAGTATATTGAAATGTTTAAATGCTTGTCTGCAGTCCCCCCTGAAACTCAGACCCGCCATGATTCGAATAGCTCGCCTCTGTAACCCAAAAAATCTGGTCACGAGGGGAGTGACCCCAAACCAAGATACCATATGTCATTACAGAGTGGAATATAGCATGGTACGATGTTTTCATAACCTTTTCTGAGATATTCTCGGAAAGGTTTCGAAGGACAAAAAGTGCCCTGCTAAGCCTTGATGAAACCTGGTTGATTTGGTCATCCCATCTTAGAGTGGGGTCAATGTACACTCCAAGGAATCGAACACTCCACATTTTTATTCACGTTACTGGAGAGAACCAATCAGGGAGAAACCCAATTTCTCTGTTTTGTCTTCGTTCATGAGGAGCTTATTTGCGTTAAACCAGTCCTTCACTCTTGCCTGCATGGCTTCAAGCTCTACAATAGCCCGATCATCTGATTCCGCTGACATGGAGATGGTGGTGTCATCGGCAAAGAGTGTGTATTTTTCTCTAACACTGTTTAAAGGAAGATCATTCACATAGATTAGGAATAGAATCGGCCCCAGGACAGATCCTTGAGGCACACCTATGTTTACAACCCTCTCCTCAGAGTACACCCTTCCCCACCCTGACAGACTGGGAACTATTCTGTAGATAGGAATCGACAAGTTTAATACTATCTGAACTGAAATTGTAGCGAGCTAGCTTGCTCAGCAAGAGTTTATGGTTCACGCAGTCGAATGCCTTACTCAAGTCGCAGAAAAGGACAGCATTAAACTGGAGATTATCAAAAGAATCAGGAATACTAGCAATGAGATTTAATATGCCCAGTGTAGTACTCCTGCCCTCTCGAAAACCAGAGAGAAAAAAGATGTAATTAGAATTTAATAAATCAACTTTTTGACTGAAAAAAAATTGCAGCAATCACATTTTTGTATTGAAATCCTCCTTTAAATCCTATCTCTTATATTTAGAACAACTATTTTCGCATGTTTCTCACAATCTTCATGATTCATGGATTTGTAATATTTTTGTTTTTCAATGTGACATAGAAGTTTTTCAAGTAATTGAAGTGAACATTTTACAAAATAGCTCGAAATTTTACACATGGTAATTAAAAAAAATTCGGATTCGAGTTTTTTCTTTTCTTTGCATTTTCTGAGAACATTTACCATAGTAATGTATATATTTTCTTCGATATCAAGTCAATATAAGGTGAAAAAATAGATATTTCAAATCAAAAAAATTACAGTGTCTTTAGGACATGAAAAGGTAAGTTTTGACCAAATTTCGTGAAAAAAAAATTTTTTTGCATAAGAAATAAAAAATCAAAAACTTGATCATTTGAATTTTTCACATAAATTTTGAGGTTGTGTGAAAAAAACGTGATCGCAAAAGTTGTAGGTATCTTTATTACCAACAACTTTGCTATTCAACTTTTGTTCATAGGGCTCGTAGTTTTGCTGGAAATCAAGATAAACCGTTTTTTACCCTTGAAAACTCATCCCCTACCACTTCCCGACCTCAGATCGCCCGTAATTTATTTTCCCTTTCATCTTTGTTATATCTCTTTCTTTTTCAATGAGTTTCATTCTACTATGATTTCTCTTCACATTTTACCGTTTTCAAAGGCTTCAGCACTGGTCTAATAGTAAAAAAGTTCATATAAACATTATCCCAGAAATGCCCACATTACTTTTCATGCCCGATTTGGCGTAAATTTGATCAGGGGCGTGGGAAATAGGTCGGGCTAGGGGCATTCCATCCCCCAACTTTTTTTTGTATGCAATTTCCGGCAGTTCGACCGGTAAATATGAAAATATCAGTTTTACGTAAAAATGATACTCTTGTTTAGTTTCGATTGCACTCGCCATTTTCGAGCTGAATCGATTTTGAAATTAGTCTGATGCCTAACAACAAAAGTCCTTTTTCCTTAAAATAGGGTACCAGATTTTCCCAAAAATTATGATTCTATGAAAAATACCCATTTTTCAACATCTACTCGTGATTTTTGATTCAAACTATGAGAGGAACAATGAAAAGAATTGATCGAAAAACATTATGGTAGGTACCCTATTCAAAAAGCACTATTTTTATTACACAGCAGTCTTTAAAAATCAATTTATCTCGAAAATTGTTAGTGTTATCGAAACTTTTTAGGTAAAAATGATATTTTCATGTTTCCTGGTCAAACTGCCGAAAATTGCATTGACAAAAATGTTGGGGGAAGAAATGCCCATAGCCCCACCTATTTCCCACACACCTAATCACAATTTTGAAAAATTCTTAACATTTCCAAATCGGACATGAAAAGCAATATACATGTACAAAATTTCGTCATCTCATCGCAGAGGGTTCCGGAAATATTTACAAACACCATCATCTCGGGCAATTTTTTGGATGGCTTCAACTCCCCAGGGAGCCATTTCTGGGCTCATGTTTCTATGAACTTTTTTCGATATTTCTGTTCCTAGAATATGTAGTTGACATCTTTCTATGTAATTTCGGGACACCCTGTATACCGCAGGCCTTTAGACGCTCTCCAAAAACTACGGATAGACAGACAAATGCATAAAAATTCTGGAGATGTTAGATTGTTATTGTGATAATACAATATGAGATTATTTATATAATGGGGTTTGTCTCCAGCGTCAAATCGACAGCGGTGCGATTGTGATATATCTATAACTAGGGTCCCTTGATGGAAATTGACATTAAAGTCATCTTAACAGGGTACGGACAGATCCTCGTCCCCCCTCACTCTAGAGCGTTTGTGAAACAGCTATATAGTTCCATCCTTATTCAATTCTGGGGATAAACACTAGATTTTTGACATTCGTTGTTTTTTAGGTTATATTGAGGTCACTGGCGTATCATACGTGATTTCCATATGGAATTCCTGATTCAACTATACCAAGATATAGATGAACCAGCGGTTGACTGAATTGACTAAATGAATTCTGATTTCAAGCTGAGCAAGAGTTAATCTGTTAGCTGAATGAGCTGAGCTTTATGATTGAGAAATGGTGGAAACCTCGATATGGGGGTATCTGAATTACTGTACCTCCGTCATGTGTGCTGAATATATTTTCGGAAATCCAATTCGGAGAAGAATTCATGGAGTGACTAATATCACACTATGTATAAAACTTCGTCTGGGACGAAAAGTAGGCTGATAAAAAGTAATACGTGAAAAGTGCAGGAAAATAAAGAATAGAATATACTTATGATTTTTCCGTCTCCCTTAAATAAAAAGTCATCTTCGAATAATGTATTGAATTCTCAAATTTTGACGAAACATTCATTATCTCCTACCCCGAAAACCCCCAGATACCAATTTTGATAAAAAC